TTTGAAGGCGATCGTGAGCGGTGTGTACGAGAGCGACGGCCACTCGGCCCACATCGCCCCGAGCTTCATGTAGCGCTGGAGCCGTCGACGCGACGTCGTCGGCGCCTTGCGCTGTGAGAGCGCGATCGCCTTGCCTATTGTTTCACGTGAAATGAGGCGCTCGATGTGCCAAACGACCTTGGGCAAGCGGATCGTGAACTGTGGTAGCATTGAAGTGAAGGCCCCGCGCAGCATATTGGTAATAGAGCAGAAGCCGGCCGCCCCCCATGAGCCACACGCCCCAGAGGAGCACGACGGGGGTCTGCAGCAGCCAGCTGTACCCGCAAGTGGGCCAAACGGCTGTCGAGCACGTCGTGTTGGGCGATGCGTAGCACGTGGCCATGCTGTCCGCAGCGGTCTTTCTTTTCAAAATACAACGTTTCGCGCTATTCTCATTCTCATGAAACAACACGGACACAGTCATCCGTGGCGACGCATCGATGTATCCATCCAATGCGTCTGCGGTCCAAACGACGTGAGCGAGAACCGCATCCAAAACGAAGCGCCTTCGCATGTGTAAATGCCTCAAATGGTATCCATGACGGCGGATAAGAGTTGGAACCAATACTACTGGGTCGTTGGAGGGAGCTGCGTACGAAATACAAGCACGAATTCAACGCATGTCTAAAGCGGTTTCTGTTGAAACGGTACAAAGGGCAAGGACAAGGTAGACTCGAACACGGCGATCATGAGCGTGCGAGAAGGTGTCGTGCGCAGCCGGATACGACGCTCGTTCACAGGCAACTTTGCGGTCAAGTGCAAAAATTTACTAGTAGCTCATATCGCCACCGCGGAGTCCACCCAACGAAGTGCTAGACGTGGTTTGATTCTGTCAAGTAGGCCAACGCAAAGTCTTGACGACGAAAAAAGGTCTGTCAGACAAGTTGACCAACATGTCGTCGACACGCGATAGCATCGCGCTATCGTGGCGGGCTCCATTCCCGGCGAAGATCTCCTTTTTTCCGAACGGGAGCCGTCGCAGTGCCTCCACCTCTCCAACGCCATCCAAGCACGTGTTGTTGGCATACTACTACGTAGTACAAGTTAGTAAATGCATGTCGGGGCGTCGCCCTTGCAAATCGTTTTTGCTTGCATCAAGAATGGCTAATCCAAACTATTTTTAATCTGTCGCCAGCGTCCTTGTTGGAGGCTGGTGCGCGTCGACGAGAAGAAATTAAAGCATTCGAATACAGATAGGATAGCAATGACACGAGGATTTTAGCAATCAGGTCGCAATATGATAGCAACCGAAAAGACAACGGACAGCAACGGGTAGCAATGTGTTGGAAAATTGTTGCAAGGTAGTTGCAAGACAGTCGCGAGTGACGTCGGCTCGGCGCAACGGAGCCCCACGAGAAGGAAGATCGACATGTTCCGATTTTTGACCAATTACAGCGTGGAAATAGGGTGTACACGATTCCAATTTGCTGCTTCAGCTCTGTATTTCAGCCAATCAACGATCCGAATTGTATGCTTTCCATAGTATCCGGACATCCGGAAACGAGAGTGCACTTTCCAACCCAGATCAAGAAAACCCTGGCCGCGATGCGCGCCATCGGAATCATCCCTGCGCGCCTTCGCTCGACGCGCTTCCATGCCAAGCCGCTCGCGCTTCTCTGCGGGACGCCGATGATTAAGCACACGTTCGAGGCCGCGTCGCGCGCTACGAAGCTCGACGCAGTCTACGTCGCGACCGACGCCATCGAGATCGCATCGCTGTTGCCGTCGGCGTCGATCCTCACGGACGCCGCGTGTGCCAACGGGACAGAGCGCGTACTGCAAGCTCTCGCTCGCCTCCCGCAACCGGCTTCGCTCTACGATATTGTTGTCAATATCCAAGGCGACGAGCCAGGAATTGACCCGGCGCACATCGACCTCTGCGTCGCAGCGCTGGAGGACGATCCGAGCTGCGTCATGAGCACACTCATGGCGCCGGTGCGCTCGGAGGCCGAAGCGCGCAGCTTTAACGTCGTCAAGGTCGTTGCCAACCACCAGTCGTAGGTATCGTTGACCAATCTGGAGTCAAATGATGATGTATGTAGGCATGCCATGTACTTTTCGCGCGCTCTGATTCCCGCGTCTAAAGACAATGCGTTCGACCCCGCGCGGACCATGAAGCACATCGGACTTTACGCGTTTCGGACGTCGTTTTTGGTCGACGTCTTCCCAACGCTGACGCGCAACGAGCTGGGCGACGTCGAAGACCTGGAGCAACTGCGCGTTCTCGAGGCCGGTCACAAAATCAAGATGGTGACCGTGCAAAGCGCGCATCCTGGTGTCGACGTGCCCGACGACCTATTGACCCTCGAGGCGATCTTGTCGACAGCGACGTAGCACTCGAGAGTAGCGATGAGTTGCTTCCGAGCGACAACCTTGTAGAACGCATAGGTGTAAGTACACAGTTCGTCCACACCAAGCACGTTCTTGCTGAAGCGGGTCGTCAATTTTAGAAGATGCTTTGCTTTTTGATGCCATAGAGCGTTGAAATCGCAACCCAAAACGTATGCTTCGCAGGCGCAATTCTCAACAAATTGCGTTCGAGAGGCGTTTTTTAGACACAGACTCTCAACGAGAAAATCAAGTCGGCCTTTTGTCAATGCGTACCAGAATCCGAGCACGTTGTCTAACATCCATGTACTAGTATCTATCTATCTATCTATCTATCTATCTATCTATCTATCTACCTACCTACCTACCTACCTACCTACCTACCTACCTACCTACCTACCTACCTACCTACCTACCTACCTACCTACCTACCTATCCATCGATCTCCTTGAAACATGTCGCGCACGGTCGACGAGCCGTTTCATCGACCAAGTCGATGATTTTCCGCCCATTGTCAAGATTCTTCCGCGGCGTCTTGTTGGGATGACGATCTATGCCTACCGACGGGTGTCTACGTTTGACGTGGTGAAGACGGCGCGCAGTGTGCTCCATCCTCTCGCGGTTCGCTCGCCAAACGAAGAAAAACTGACGAAATCCGCTCGTCTTGCTTCTCGCGATTGCACTTATCGAAGCAGACTATCGAGTTTGTTGACACTGGCTTTCGTGATCGGTCGCGTCGGCACGTCGACGCGCCAAATCGCGCGGAGAAGGTCGGGGGCGAACGCCTTGCGATTTTCCATGAGAAACATCTCGAGGTCCGTCTCCGAGAGCAACGCGAGTGCATAGTACCTACACATCGCATCGCATTGCGAACTTGATACGAAGTTGATACTTACCGTTTGACGCGTTGAAAGTAAAACGCATCGCGACGCACGCTCGGGTACTTGTAGAAGAGACTCGTGAGCGACTGCTGGAGCGAGTTGACATTGCAGTGCATTTGGGCGACGCCGCCGACCGACAACTTTGAAAGTTTAGACAAGAGGTGCGTGAGGATGTGGCACACGAGCGAGTCGAGCCCGTCGAGGACGAGCGCGACCTTGTGCTTGCTTAAATACGGCTCCAAGCACGTCTCTTCATAGCTCAAGAGCTTGGCAGCGAGGCCGAGAACGCTCTCTGCCGGCGCACACGACGTGCCCTCGGGCCCGTCCATGGTGACGCCAACCACTTGGGTCAGATGGTAGTAGCACGTCAAGTGCAGTTCCCGGCGTAGGAAAAAGAGGCACTCGTCGGCCAAACTGCTGCAGCGCCAGCTCGTCGCCTTGAGCGTTGCGACGAGGTGCTACTTGGATGGTAACCCTCGTGTTTAATAGCGATAAACGTACGTCGTCGTTGAGGTTGCTGTACTCGCTCGTCTGGATGTGCTTGTCGAGGAGAAGCGATACGAAATCGCAGCAGCTACTCAAGTACGCTAGCAACGCGAGCTTGCTCGGGTCCTGCACGAGCGACTTGACGGTCCCTGGCCGCGTCCAAAAGTCCAGATCCAAAAACTTGGTCTCTAATTCGAGCTCCTTGGCATGGAGCTCGTCGCGCGGCGTGACCTTGACCTCTGTCTACGCAAGACGACTCATACATCCTTGTACCAACAAAGCGTTTTACAGGCGGCGGCGGCAACGACGTCGTTGTTGCGATCGGCGCCGGGAGACTGTAGCTCACACTGTAGCGGTTGGTTAGACTCGAGACGTCTGAAGACGGAAGTGGGGTGGCCGCGTCCGAAGGCGCAATCTTGGCGAGCGACTGGTACGGCACGTTGCCCTTGGCAGCCGCAAACAAGGGCGTCTGGTGGAGCAACCGACCGAGCTCGCTTGCGCCAATGCTCATCTCGACCTGGTTGAGCGACCCGTCGCAGATTTTGCTACAACCAGACACATGGGACCTGAAGACGGTTGCGTGATGATGCTCTACCGAACGATCGTTGCACAATCTTCGGCAAACCGCCGGGCCGTCGCGTCGACGACACCGATAAGCTCTTGCGCCACGGGCAAGAGCGATCTCAGCATGGCGAAGAGCTCACGTACGACAAGCACCAACGCGTGGACGTTGGGCACCGCATACATGGTGTCCTACCACATGTGCTGTTAGCCGACACTCTGCCTCATTAGAGGTGGATCGATCAATAGATAGATAGATAGATAGATAGATAGATAGATAGATAGATAGATAGATAGATAGATAGATAGATAGATAGATAGATAGATATCGAGTACCATGGGCATGGGCAAGGTAAACTCCGAGTCGCCGGCGCGCGACGGTGTCGCAATCACCGCCTATCGCAATCCACGGTCACTCTCATGTGCCTTGATTCATTAGGTACCGAGGCTTTGGCCTGGAGCTTGGGTAGCCAAATGCGCACGACGAACGGCCGCCAAAACACGTCGAGGAACGAGACGCTCTTGCTGAGCGCGGCGACGTGCGTGGAGAAGGCGAGGACGTCGGGGAAGATGTGGGGTACGTAAAAGAGGCTCGGGGGGCACACGAGCGAGGACGGCGCCGCGTCATGAGCCACTTGGTTGTCGCTCGGATGCGTCGTCGTCGTCATCGTCTCTGCTGGAAAGAAACGGAAGAGACCAACGTTGGTCGCAGCGCCAGCCATCGGGGACGTTGGCACATGTGTCACTGGCTCGGGGTCGCTTAGATGTTGCACGAGCCACTCCTACACACTTGGTGTCGCAAGTTGATACGTGTCGGAAGGCACCTCGAGCACGTGGAAGGCCTTGTGCACGATCTCGTCGAGCGGATACGGCGCCAACGTGGCTGCCAACGTGGCGTGGTGACCGAGGCATGTCGAGACCGCGCATAGCACTGTCTGCAAGCACGCTTGAAAGGTACTGGCGAGCGGCGAGCGGCCAAACCGCTCGTTTGCGTCCGCTGTTGCCAGTGACGCGCGGCAGATGGAGCCGATCCGTTCGATGAGCGCCTCGAGCCGCGGCTCGAGAGAGGCCTTGAGCGTACCAATGACTTCGACTTCGCGCGATAGCCTAGTATTGGTTGGTTGTATTGGAATCGAGACGATGAAAGGTCGCACCGCTGGACACAGCGCGCGAGGTCGGCCAGCGGCGGCGCCGGCGCCGATGACGACAGCGCGCGAAAGGTGCTGAGCGATGCCGACGACGATTTCGCGTGCTTGATCCAGACAACCTACCTACAGAGATGAGAGAAAGCGACTTGGCTTGCAAGCACGACCTCGAGGTAGACGCCTGCCTCGATTGCTGCGACCAAGTAGTCTTCAATCGTTTGCTTGCACTCGAGGAGGGCATGACGCATGGTCGCAACGGCACTAAAGACGACGAGCTTCTCGCTAAAGACGAGGCCAAAGGCGCGGAGGTAGACGTCGACGGCCTGGCCTGCGAGGCCCGCGTCCAGCGCGGCTTGGATCTTGGCCGGCGCTTTCTCAATGTACTCGATGTCTTGGATGAGGTCGATGACCTACATATCGCCATGCGGCCACTGCAGCATGGCCTGCAGTGGTACCTTTTTGGCCTCGTACGTTTGCGAGAGGAGGTCATGGAGGTTCTTGGTTTTGGCGGTCAAGATGGCCTTGCCCTCCATGCTGCGCTTTTCGACCTCGAGCAGCCCCGCGCGTGCGCCTAGTGTCCCGCCATAGTACTAGGTACGTCAGTCGCTATGTCGCAATACCTTGTAGCTGGTGCGCAATCCCGGCAAACTTGCCGAGGCTCGCGTTAAAGTTGGTGTAGTTGGCGTCAACGACGCCAGCAATCTCTTGGTCCGCGAGCTCGCGGTAGTGCGAGACCGTGCGCAGCTGCTCGGCGCGGGTGTCGTCTGGCGCCGAGACGATGTAGCGCAGCATGTACTTGGTCGCGCTGAACTTCTTCTCAAAGAAGACGCGGTCGATGGCCTCGGACGCCTTCATCCCTCGCCCGTCTTTTCAAGATCGCAAATTCAGCAACACCATTTGAATGTCGAGAATAGTGTACAGCAAAGTGGCGTGTCGCACGCGTACACTATTTCGAGGTCGTCGCCGTCCGCCGAAGACCAGCCCCAGACGACACGTTCGACGACGAGAAGAAGGAGGATGTTAGCCGTGCGTAGCAGCTTCCGCGCCCAGCACATGCGATGGCTCCATACTGCCAAGACGCAGCGCCGCAGCTTCTCCCACGCAGCGCCCGTCCTTGACCTCACCAAGAGCCGCAAACAGCTCGGTGCGCCTCGTTGGCCCATTCCGTTGGCGTCACAAAGATCGCGTAGGCCTTGGCCTCCTCGGCGGCCTTGTCTGCGTCGGCGTCGCGCTCCAAGCCAACGAGCGCAACAAGGCGTCTCTTCTCGAGGCGGTACCGAGCGCGATGGAGGGGCCGCGACCGGACGCCAGCTGGAAGCAGACGCTCGAGCGCGTCGTGCCTGCGATCGGTACGATCTCTTGTTGGTATCGTCGCGTGGTCTCATGCGTGCTCATGTAGTCTCCCTCAAGCTCAACTCGCCGAAGGTACTCGTCGTGCTGCCATCGTCATGGAAGGTCGCCGCATGCTGCTCATCCTGCTAGTCGTTTGACACGGAGACACCGGGCAACGGGTGGGCCACGGGTTTTGTCGTCGATGCGGAAAAAGGCATCATCCTCACCAACCGCCACGTCGTCGGCGCTGGTCCCGTTGTACGCGGCGACAGCTTGCCATCTGCTATGAGCTCAATCTGCTGCGATGCGCTCTAGGACGCGGAGGCCATTTTTCAAAACAACGAAGAAGTCCGCGTCGTGCCGATTTATCGGGACCCGGTGCACGACTTTGGATTCTTCCGCTACGACCCCAAGGTACAATACTAAACCCAGCGCCCTGCGTTGCAAGCATCACCATGGTTGGGACTAGGATGTCCGGCACATGGCGGTGCCATCGCTCCAGCTCTGCCCGGAGAAGGCGACGGTCGGCACGGATATCCGCGTGGTCGGCAACGACGCGGCCGAGAAGCTCGCGATCGCGTCCGGCACGCTCG